CACCTTTTGTTTCCTGTTCCCTTATTTTGAAGCCTAATAGGAGGAATGTACCTGACTACAGGGACAAGAGAGGAAGAGATTGTATCTCTTTCTAGCCTTTGAAATTACATTGCTGCCAGTTGCTCATGAACAGTTGTGTGACTTTCCAGAACTTCAGTATGGGAGGTGCCAGTCAATGCAGAAGGCACTCAACCATCATCACAGAGCCTACCAGCAATATTGTGAAAAGAATGAATGAAGAAACTTGTTTTTCTATGCAGAAAATGGATACAGAATAAATGAATCACCATTTTTTCTGGATTTGAAAGTGCCTAAAGCGTGTTTGAGAATCTAGAGAGCCCAAATCAAGACATAACTGCCTCCCCCCACCCCAACTTGCAGTACCCCAACAGTATTGGCCAGAAATGGCAACCAATACCTTTTGTTGAATCTCTCTTTTACAGCCCCTTTCCCTTCCATGTATTGCTCACAGACAATGTAAGGAAAGATTAAGCATTACTGAAAGATGATGAATATACTTTGGTGAACTAAGCTGTAAGTTGGAATTTGTTCTTATTCTTGAATCACAGGAACATCTGTGGACTTAAATGGGGGGAAAAAGGAGGATCCTTCTCCAAAACTTGAGGAAACTATTAATTCCATGTTCAATGAAAGCCTTACAAGTGCGTTTGAAATCAATCATCTTTTTAATGCCTTTTGCACTACTAGTCACCATGAGTAGAAGTATGTTTCTTTGAATGCATAAGGAAGGACTTGGATTTGTGTTAGATATCTGAGTTTGGTGCCACCATAATAATTGCAAACAATTTCCAAGGGTAAACTGTTATTTTATAGATAGGGAAGTGTGATAAGCCCTGCCTTAATATCTGTTGCTGCAGAAGTATCATCACTACCAATCAATCCCTTTCCCAGAAGTCTAGCAAAGACTAAGCTATGTAAGGGGCTTCTTGAGAGATTATACTGTGTGGGGAAAAACCTCTTGTTCTGGCCTGCTTGTCCACAGTGCTACGAGGAAAGGATTAACTTTAAACTTTTGAGTCCAAAGGAGTAGCTCTGAAATGGAAAACTCAGTGCACACAGACTCTCTTATGCATTTACAGCAATAATAATAGACATTTCAGATAGGAAGTGCTGTGATGTTTATAGTGATAAACAAGTACTGTGGGAAACAGAATGTGACGGAAGCCGAGAGAGGAAGCCAGTTTTCATTCAAGGAAGCTGGGATTGTACTTTCTGTGGAGGAAAAGCAATGTTCCTGACCTTGTAAATCCCAGCATTGGATTAGTCCACCTACAGCCTTGAATTGTGCAAGCAAGATCTTGCTTGGAATGTTCACTACTGACCTTCTGGTCTGGCAATTCAAGACCTTTATGGAGGCAACCTTCAGAAATCAATAATATGGTTTATACTAGTGTCTGTTTGTAGTTTATTTTGAAGTCTAGTATTTCAGTAATTTAAAAAGAGAATCAGAAGCACTGAACTTTCTACGTTTTATAACATTATTTTGTATATAATGTATATTTATAATCAAAAACAGAAGTGTAAATATGTTTATTACTTATGTAATGTTTTTATGTGATGAGAAAAGTTTGAATTTTATTTTTTTTTCAAATAATGAAAATCCGTTCCTGCTACTACAAAGTTTCCTGTGGTTTCTTGTTTTATAACTTTCCTGATCCTGCAGTGTTTCCCAGATGTGTCTGGTAACAAAATTTGTTGTTAGGCATTACCTCTAGAAAGTTCACATTGGTGTTTTGGGGGAATTAATTCATTCTTTTTGAGCCACTAAATACTGAATAGATGTGATCTTTAAACATTTTAAAAGCCAAAGTTTTAACAAGTCCTTACACTAGGGATAAAAGTGTAAAACAAGAGAACGTATTAACCTTTGTGTCTGTAGATCATTCTGGAAAATGATCCAGGACATTAATAAATTAATTTGTCAACTTCATACTTGGTTAGCAAACTCTCAAGTTCTCAGACTCTGGAAGTAACTAGTTCTGAGTAATTAGTAGTTTGTAATTAATTATTTTCCAATAACCAAGGTACAACTGAGGGACAATATGATTTGACAGCAATGGTAATTTTAGGTTACGGTACTCCTGTATTTATGAATGCAACATCACTAAATGGTGGAGGAGAACAATAACATGGTTCAAGTGCTGGCTTGTGCTTTGTATGGGTGTCTCATGCCACCATGATTGTTAAGGCAATGACAAGGTTAATAGGGGAACATTTTGTACCACAAGCCACCTTTCAGCATTCATATTTGTGTGGTTCTGTAACTAATTTATATATTTCTGAGAAACAGAAAAGCAAAACTATTTCTAAATTCTAACTAACTGAAACTAAGCAGACTTGGAGGCCTTGGAATTATAATTGTAACTAAATACTCTAAAATTCGCTGTCCACACCCTGGAGCTTCCTTTTCTGATCTCTATTAAAACCTGAGCTCTTGATTAATTAGTGCATCCCTCTCAAAACATCTGAGCATCCTTCCTTCAACAACAGTAGTGCCTTGAAAGAAGTAATAAGGAAAAGCACTCTGGATTTTAATGCTGCCATTCCTGCTTTTGTGCTAGAGTTTCTCATCTGCCCTTTAGTCTGTTTGCTTCTCATCTGTCAGCCTGTGGATTATGAATGGAGGAAAGCATTGCCAACCTATTACATATATAAATCTCAGCCTGGAGGTTTCCTGTTTAAGACAAGTTTTTGTATTCTGTTTTAAAGTACTTTATTTCATTTTATAGTGTAAATGTTTCTTGAACTCCAGCCTAGTTACTCAATAGTACTTGGATTCAAGGTCAAGAAGTCATTAGAACTATGGGCTTAAATCCAACTATTTTGGCGTGTGGATTGCAGCAAATATTTTTTTAATATTTTTTTTAAATGAAATGTCACAATCAGGCTTTCTATCATGTTGTTAAACCACAGTCATAATTTCAAAAATGCTAAGTGAGCCTTTATTTTCCCTTGTTTTTAATGACATGCAATGTTGTTTATCTTTTTGAAAACTGTTTGTGTGTGCCTCCCTCTTTAATTCTTTTCTTAGTAAAATGAGCTGAAATCCTAATCAGTCTCCTTGACTACCATTTGAGGCAAACAATAACCAAGATGGGTCACAAATAAAAAGATTCCCCTCCCATTCTCAAACACTCACCCCATAGAGCAAATTATGAAAAACAAGCCATTGACAAAAAAGCTGAGCAGATGCTCCTGATTTGCAGCCCTTCCTTGGCAATGTGAAATAAACCCAACAGATGCTTCTCTTAATTGAACACATGGATTACACACATGCACACACACAAACACAAAGTCCTGCTTCAAACGAAAAAACAGAAAAATAGTCAGGGAACTCTTCCCACAGTTTAGGCAAAAATGAAAAACCTGGAGTTTGAGACCCAAATACAGTTTTGGGGTTTCCAGATAAAAAGAAAACCATAGCAAGGGGCAAATCTGAGAGTTATATCTGCTGAAACCTGAAAATAAACAATATACTGATTAATGATTAAGAACTCACATGTCCTACAAAACAGAGAAACAAAAGCAGTAAAATAAATGAATGCATGCACACCAGCAATCCCAGACACAAGGTTCAAAGAACCTGAAACAGGAACTTTCCTGTGTAGATCTGACTGTGATTGCGGTCACAATAACATTTCAGGGTAGGATAAAGTTTTAGATAACATTGAAAGGACAGCTCCAAGGGTTTGTTTTGCTTTAAGTCAAAGAACAATGTGTGTGTGTGTACATGTGTGCATGTGTGTAAAGTTGGCCCTCCACATCCATAGATTGTACATCCAGGATTCAACCATCCACGGGGTTTGAAAATTTTTTTTAAAAAAATCCAAATTTTGATTTTGCCATTTTATATAAGGGACACTATTTTACTCCACCAGTATATATAATAATACTCGATAATCCACATATTTTTGGTACCCACGGGGAAGCATGGAACTAAACTGAAGAGGATACCAATGGCACACTGTATGTTGCATGGTATGCACCATGTTGTAATTAGAATTTGGAAATGCAGCCATTGGATGTGTATCACTGCAATATTACAGTTACACATCCAATGGCTGGCTGCACTTCCAAATTTTAATCACAACATGGTAAAAACTGGTTTTCAAAAAGGATATGTATATGGAAGTCATTTTCAGTCAGTTTTCATTTCTATGGCAGTCACTGGATTTTATGCAGTGCTTCCAATGTTTTGTAACTAGAGTCTATGCAGATGAAATTTTTGACTACTAGATAGTGCCAACATTATTATACAAACCAGTCTTCCTTGAGGTGGTTTGGATTGTGTGGCAAAATACATTGCTGGCTACTTGCCTAGAGATGTCTTGAGATTACAGATTTGCAGTCTCTTGACTCATACAAAGATACAACTCTCTCTATATATGTAAATATCTTCTTTTTAAAAGTCCAGTTTATTACATGTAATTAGTCTGCTTCTTCAAATGAGCAAAAGAGGTTGACTGGCTGCCTGTTAGGATTTTTCCTGCAAAGTTTTATGCTGAAAGTGACAAAAGTTATGCTGTCAAATTTTTACATTCAGGCTACTTGATCAATATATATTTATATTTAGGTTGTGAAGTTTACTCCTAATAGTGTAATTCTGAAGATGTATCTAACTCCTAATAGTGTAATTCTGAAGATGTATTGTTCTTTGTCTTCTCAGCTTTCATTAGCCTTTTAAAAGAAAAGGCAGCTACAAGGTTCCTACATAGAAATAGGTTAAACTACTAAATTATCTACATCACTAAGAGGAGAAATCCACATAGCCTAGCTTTTCTCCCATCACTGCCTATATTTGTTCCTTTTGAAGAATGGGCAAGAAATAAACTAAGACATCTGAAGAGTGAAGGATCAAAGCTCTTTTCTTTCACTATTCAGATCATTTAGCTTATTCAACAACAACCCAGAATCTTAGCTTACTCTCATATCCAATAACACAGAATGCCCCTTCATGGTAAGTAATCAACATGGTAGGAGCCAGCATGGCATAGTGGTTTGAGTGTTGGACTACAACTCTGGAGACCAGGGTTTGATTCCCAGCTCGGCCATGAAACCAACTGGGTGACCTTGGGCAAGTCACATACTCTTAGCCCCAGGGGAATGCACTAGCAAACCTCCTCTGAACAAAACTTGCAAAGGAAATCCCATGATAAGTTTGCCTTAGGCTCGCGTCAGTTGGAAATAACTAGAAAGCACACAACAACCACCAACATGGTATTACAACAGTCTGTGAAGGATGGTGGTCAAACTTGGATTTCAAGTGGCTCTTCCTTCCTTTCAGCATCTCCATATCATGCTTTGACCTGCATTTGAGAATCTAGTTCTGCAGATCTCCAAGGGTCCTTTCACAGCATAGTGCTATTATTCCACTTTAGCTACATCCTATAGAATCCTGGGGTTTCTAGTTTGGTGAGGCACTAGAGCTCTCTGGCTGAGAGTTCTAAATACCCCTCCCTAACCTGCAAATCCCAGGATTCCATAGGATGTTGCCATGGTAGTTGGAATCACAGTGCTAAAGTGCAAAAGGACCTGACCTACACAATCCCATTGCTTCATTTCTAAGCCACTCTCACATTGACTTTCCCAATACTGTTGTTCCTTTCTCACCTCCATTTGTTTTTTGTTTTAGTTTTTGCTCTTAACAGTGTAAACATGACAGGGTGTGGATCAGGGTTTGTTTTCTAAAACACTGGCCTGTTTCTGCTTCTGGCTTACACAATTACATACACCACATATAAAACATACTTTGGGACTGATCAGTATGTTCTGGTAATGCCTGAAAAATGGGGCTTTGCAATTACCCATGGACAGTCTCGATTGTAAGGAAAGCAAAACCTGATACAAGGGGTTGCCAAAAGCAAAAAGTGGAGTAGGCAGAGAGAGAAAAAGGAGGCATTCAGTTAAGAGGTGTGGGAGCTGGAGATGGTAAGAGATGACCTCCTGACTAGAAGCCATGGGTACACTTCCTCTCCAACACCCATCACCTTCCCCTTCCTCCAGATTTCAGTGTATGCCGGAGGAATTGCAACCAGCTGTTCTTGGCCAAAGTTATAACACCTGAGCACTCTTACCACAGTCATTCCTAAGCAAAGATCCCCAAATTGTTAAATTCTGTAGAAGATCTCAATACCTTGGGCTTTCAAGGCAAGTGGGATTGCATGCGTTTATATACAAACTCACCAGACCTTGCAGTCTTAATGTGACTCCAGCAGGTGAGCTACCTTCTTGATATTGTAAAGAGATATGAGCAGCTGTTTTACACTGCCTTACTGGCCAGATCTAATAAGCTTATCACACAGCACTTAAGGAACGGGAACAGAACGGAACACAAGGGAATGGAACAGATGGAGCAAAGCAAAAACACATTTTATTGCATGGGAGAACACCACTGATGCCACCGGGAGTCCCCGATCCATTCCCCAGCCGTTCCTGGCCAGCATGGTGTCACAATTTTTATTCACATTAAAGGCATATTACCTAATGGCTTCTGAAATTAAGGTGTATTTAGTATTTTATAAACATTTTTTTACATACAGTCATCCCTTTCTATTTGCAGGGGTCAGAACACCTGGCTGCATGTACACTCATTCACTCATTCACTTACTTGGGTGGGAGGGGGTAGCCTGATTAGCTTCGATACACCATGGGGAATAAAGTTGCCCATCTCCTTTGCTATGATCACTGACAATGGAGAACTTTATCCCGGTTGATGCCATCCTCTTCCCAGTTGAGCCTAGCCATGAGATCAATGGTGAGGGGGTAGATCAGGCTACTCCACCATTGTTTGACTCTGGAGCAACTTCACCAGTGGGGCTCTGGTAGGAAGGGGTGGCAGTAACTGGGATGAAGTGCTGAAATCACAGTGAGGGAGATAGGCAATTTCTATCCTATATGTACACACATCAAGAGACATTAAAAAACACGTTTTTAAAAAAATCAACATATAGTTCGTGGGGGAAAGGAGACATTTACAGACTGCCAGAAAGAATGCAGCTTGAGACCACTTTAACTGCCCTGGCTTAGTGCTATGGAATCATGGGAGCTGTAGTTTATTGTGGCACCAGAGCTCTCTGACAGAGAAGGCTCAATGTTTCAGAAAAAAACTACAATTCCCATGATTCCCTAGCACAGGTTGACAGGTGAACAATAAGGCTATTGGTTGATAGGCTTTGGCATGCTGGCAAGTTAAAAAAGCATATGTCTTTTGTAGCAATTTAAATTTGAGCACAGAAATGTGTGGCAATCAATACAACCTAAGTCCAGTTTATAGGTATGGCACTAATGGAGTCGCTGAAGACCAGGAAAATGTGAGTTGAAGCTGAATATTTTTTGTCAGTGTAAATTACTGCCAAGTAATTTCCAATTTATGACAACTCTCTGGCATACCCACCAACTGTCCCAATTTGGCAGGGACTGTTTCAGTTAATCCTCTGCCATTCTGGTTTTTCTCTTCTGCAACTTTCCTCTTTTGCCTTCAGCTTCCTTCAGTTGCTTCAAACTTTGTCCAAGTACAAAAGTAATTTTCTCAATGTACTTAACTCCTCATGGGGAGAAGAGAACCCAAAGTCACCTAGTGGGTTTTCATGGCTGAGCTAGAATTTGAACCCTGGTCGTCTGGAGTCCTAGTCCAACACTCACACCTACAACATGTTGGCAATCTTGGAACATCTGTATAAACAACTGTGACACATATGTATGCATTGAAAGTCACATGGGGGTGTTACTCCATAGGTGATAGAGTCAGGGTTGAGCCAAGATAATGATGATGATGATGATGATGGTGATGATGATATTGTGATTGTTATTGTTGTTATTATTATTATTGCTACCTCAGTCAGCACAGCAAATTGTGCCCCTCTGAAACCACCTGAGTCAAAGCCAACCAAATTATATTGGTGTATGAAGCATGAGGCAAAAAATCTTTCAAGCATCTCAGCATTCCTGGCAGTCACAATACAATAATACAATAACAGTAAAAAATACAACAATAATGAACACAATAGCTAATATTTCCTGCCCAGCAAATCTGTCTAATGATACTGCCAGGCCTAAATATAGTGCAAGTATCTACTGAGCCCATGTAAGTCATGCTACACATAGAGATTTTTCTGTCTCTTGGAGCAGTGTTACTCATTCAAAGTAGTGCTCACTGGCTGTCAGTCCCTGGTGAGTTTCCAGGAAAGAAATAAACAGTTGCTGCCATTGATATGTTGATGGTTCCTGGTACATGGGAAGAGGGGACTGCTGGTCACCCATGTTGGACAGCTTGAGATGCACCATCTTAGAAGATTGTGGCAAAGGCAAGTACTATTTTACAACACGCTGAATTTTGCAGGGTTGAGATTGAGAATGCCTGTACCTGCCCATTTCTCAGTAGCTATGCAGGCCAGACTGGCAGTTGAAAGCAGAGCATGAATCTTTCCTCTCCTCATCCAAGCAATTTCTTACTAGTCATCCCTCCACTGCCTCAGGTGGACCTGAGAGAGTAAGGTGTAAAATACCAGATCAGATCCAGGGTGGTATGAGGCAAGAAATTGTTGTTGTCTGAGTATTGTAGTCTAAAATTGATCTTTCTCAGTTCTGGCCAGACTAGCTTGGATCAAGGCTATCTGAAAGACCATATCTACCTATATGAGCTTCCCCACATTCTGAGATCTTAGAAGGAAGGATTTCTCTTAGTCCTACCATTGTCGTAGGCTTGTCTGGTGAGGATCTGTGAGATAGACTCACCACACTACTGGTGAGACTGCTCCCAGGCTGTGATATTGCACTGGGAAAACTTTAATGCAATTACAAATGTCAAAAGTCAGTTACAGTCATAGGTAACATCTTTCTCGGGTTGACAAGGTGAAGGCAAATTAAGGTTGAGAGGACACAGTGCCCAGTGGTTTCAAGATCAGCAAATGGTCAAGCAGGGCTGTCAACCATGTCTTGATAAGCATCTGAGCAGGTCTTTTTCTACCAGCCAGTTGGTGTAACCAGCACCAATGGGTGAGAGCAGAAGTCACCTGCATCCACCTGGATTGCTGGTTACCACCCCCATCAATCCTCTGCCCCCCATGGGCTTCTCCTCCTCCAATTTAGCTCATGCCCAATGTCCCCTTTTCACTTCTATACATGGCAGTTGTGACAAAGCAGCATGTGTAACAAACACATTTGCAACAAGATAGTCGTAGATACAAATATAAGCTAATATGAGAGTGAGGATAGCAGCAATCACATCTATGACACAACAGGAATCTACCAAGCAAGCAGTGAAAGGGGGGGGACACCCAGTGAAGGTGAAAAACTTAGCCCCCAATGGCGATCACCCGAAGTCTGAGGATTTGCTAAAGAAAACAATGCAACAACAACAACAACAAAAGGCAGGTGGATCACATAGAAGATCCATCTGAAAATGGCCGGCCGCTGTGTGCACAGGCTCATTGAAACCTGCACGATCTTGCATGAAGTCTTGTGGGAAATTTGAGCCTCTAAAATTCTAGCCTAAGTAGAAGAGCCCTCCCTCCACTCCATCCAACGTCATCTGGGGGAGAGATGCAGGCCCATCTCCATTGGGCCTAGCCTAAGAAGAGGAGCCCTCCCTCCACTCCATCTGACATCTGGGGGAGAGATGCAGGCCCACCTCCATCGGGCCTAGCCTAAGTGGGAGGGAAAATGTTGTATTATGTTATATGCTAATTTTTATGCTGTAAACCGCCCGGATTGGACTACCAATGGGCAGTATAAAAATAAAATTTATTATTATTATTATTATTATTATTATTATTATTATAAGTCCCAGTGCTATAAGCTGCACTTATAAGCACATAAGTTGCTAACAAGATGCCAGACATTTTGTCATTTCATAATTTTTGTAATAAGTAAGGCATAACTATGTCACTTTATAATTTTAATGTAGCAAAAGATCATGTCACCCCTTTGCAATGTAACATGTGTCAGTCTATTTACTTTTATTGTTTTATGGTTTGTTACTTTTATAACTAGGGTATGTGTGACCACACTACCAGAGGTTACTAGCTTGCAGCATTCTGATGTTTTCCTAAAA